CAATAAACCGGAAGTTCCATGTGTGAAGACCTTGAATGGTGTGTTTGTTATGTTGATAACTAAAGGTTCGGTTAAATCCGGGAATGATCCAATCATCCATCCATGAAGACACTATAAACTGGCGACGAAGGTAAAAACAAACATTTAAAATGGCTCAAGCAATAAGTTTGTCGGACTTTGGGGTAATACAACAATTTGATCCGTCACCTTTTACTTCGGCTGGTCAACGCTGGAATAAATGGGTCCGCTCTTTTGAGTTATATGCGGAAGGTAAGGGTGTGAATGACCCTGGTCAGAAAAGAGCATTATTTCTACATTGTGCTGGTCCTAAGGTACAGGATATATTTTTCACCTTACAAGTTGGTGATCCGGGAGAGGGACAAACGGTGTATACTGTCGCAAATACCGCATTAACGGCACATTTCACGCCACAAGTAAATGTATCTTTCGAAAGATCCCAATTCAGGGCCATGAGCCAGGATACCTCAGAAACGGTTGAAATGTTTATCACGCGTCTACGTGAAAAGGCAGTATTCTGTGATTTTCGAGATGGAGACGGCATGATACGAGACCAGGTAATAGAGAAATGTAGCTCGTCACGATTGAGGAGAAAGTTTCTAGAGAGGAGAAACATAACGTTGGATCAAATTCGTGAATTAGCACAAACATATGAAATGGCACAAAGGGCAGCTAGTTCAATGGAGATGGTTGGAAACGGAAAAGCGGAAGTAAACAAAGTGAAAGCGAAAGTAACGTCGAGTTCTAGGAAACCAGGTCAGTCAAGTAGCTATCAGTCAGCTATGAAACGTTATGCGTGTGGATTTGTTTGTTTGTTTGTTTGATTTTGTTTAACGTCCTATTAACAGCAAAGGTCATAGATACACAGGACACATGAAAAAGGATCCAAAATGTCCCGCTAAAGATAAGAAGTGTAGAAAGTGTACTAACATTGGACATTTTGAAAAATGTTGTAGAACAAAAAGCTGTAACAATAAGAAAGCTGGAAAAGGAAAGGGAGGCTACTCGAATCGAACACTAGTGTGAAGCAAGTGGATTCTGAAAGTAGTACAGACAGTGAATATTTGTTTGGTGTTCAATCAGAAGGAAATACACAAAGCACAGCAGTGAAAGTGGAACTTGGTGGTGTTGTAACAGACTTTCTGATAGATTCAGGTGCAACTGTGAACATTGTAAGTAAAGACACTTGGAACCTAATGAAACGGAGGAAAATTAAAGTGCATCATCAAAACAAGAAACCTAAAAAGAAACTGTATGCTTATGGTAGTACCACACCACTCTCATTGATGGGAAGTTTTAATGCTGAGATAAAATTTCTAGATGGACAGGATTGTAAACAAACGGAGGCAGAATTCTTCGTCTTAGAGGGAAAAGGAAAGTCGCTGTTAAGCATGGGCACTGCTATTGAGTTAGGAGTTTTACGGCTAGGACCTGAACAACTTGGTACAGTCAATCAGGTTGAGAACTCGCTGAACTTAAGACGCAAATACCCAAAACTGTTCACAGGACTTGGTAAGCTCAAAAACTTTGAATTAGAAATACCCATAGATGATACTGTGACACCGGTAGTTCAAGCTACAAGGAGAATACCATACAGATTACGTGAACAGCTAGAAAACAAACTACAAGAACTTCAGGACGCCGATATTATTGAACCTGTCCCTAAGCAAAAGGGAGATATACGTCTATGTGTAGACATGAGGCAGGCAAACCGAGCTGTTGTGAGAGAGCGATATCAAATTCCCACCGTCGATGAAGTTCTCCAAAACTTAAATGGAAGCCAGGTGTTTACAAAGCTGGATATAAACAACGCATATCATCAAATTGAGTTGGCAAGCAAGTCAAGGGAAATAACTGCTTTTATTACACACAAAGGAGTGTACCAATACAAGAGATTACTGTTTGGAGTAAGTTGTGCACCAGAAATGTACAATCGTATCATGAGGCAAGTTTTGGACAAATGTGATGGGGTCGAGAGTATTTTCGATGACATTGTAGTACACGGTGTGTCAAGTGAGGAACACAACATGAGATTACACAAAGTTTTGAGTGTACTTGAGGAACGAGGTTTAACCTTGAACTATGACAAATGTAAATTCAAGCTCCCAAAGATTGAATTCATGGGGCATGTCCTGTCTGCAAAAGGAATTGGTTTATCGGATAACAAAGTGGAGGCCATATTGAATGCTAGACAACCGGAAACCGCAACAGAAATTAAGAGTTTCCTCGGATTGGTCAACTTTGCAGGTCGATTTATCCCAGATTTGGCGACCCTCAGTGAACCATTAAGGAAGTTGACGCGTCAAGATCACAAGTTTGAGTGGAAATCTGAACAGGAGGTAGCATTTCAAAAACTCAAGAAGGCACTAGCGAGTACAGAAACTCTAGGATATTTCAACATTGGCGCGAAAACTCAAATCATTGCGGATGCGAGTCCAGTAGGCCTAGGGGCAGTTTTAGTTCAGGAAGATGAACACGGTGATCGACGAATTATATCATATGCAAGTCGGAGTCTCACTGACGTGGAAAGACGTTACTCCCAAACGGAGAAGGAAGCACTCTCACTGGTATGGGCTTGTGAAAGATTCCACATGTACATTTTTGGCATAAAATTTGAATTGGTCACAGACCATAAACCATTACAGTATATTTTCTCGGACAAGTCAAAACCGTGCGCCCGTGTAGAGAGATGGGTGTTAAGATTGCAACCATATACATATACTGTGAGACACATATCAGGTGTTAAAAACATCGCTGATTCCTTATCAAGACTACTCAAAAAGGAGGAAGGGAAGCAACTCCGCCAAGACAAGACAGAGAAGTATGTAACATTTGTTGTCAACTCGAGCATTCCAATTGCTATGACAATGGAGGAAATCGAGAGAGAATCTTTGATTGATCCTGACCTACAAAACATTCGTGAGTGTTTGATAAGTGGTAAATGGGAGAAATTACAAAACAAGAGTTATCTTTTGATGAAAGATGAGTTGTGTTGTGTTGGAAATATTGTGCTACGTGGTACAAGATTGGTGATACCAGCATCACTACGTGGTAGGCTCTTAG